TCTGATAGCTGTGTCTGTGTTGCCTCTGTCTCTCCTCTCCCCCACCACGGACTGTGTCATTGGGAAAACTGGACCAGTGACAGAAAGTGCATCGACCTCGTATCTGAGAGTCTAACAGACAACACATGCAGCTGGGAGTGAGTCACCTGAGAAAAGGTAGGTAGCTTTAGGGGTGATCCCTTGTGGTGGAGACAAGCACCAGCGATGGACTCTGCCAAGGCACTGATCTTCAGAGCCAACAGAAAACTACGTCCACGGGGCCAGAGTCCTTCAGGAGGCTTCTACAAAAGGACTTCCAACAACCAGAGTTGGGCCACATAAGTTCTTTATACATGAACCTCACTAGAAGCAGGTGGAATATCACCCAGGGACCTTCTTATGGGGGGACCTCTGGAAAGCCGTCCCAGTCAAAGGAACATCTGGGGTCAGCTGCAACTGCCTGCATCTTTGTAACTACCATCCTGAGCGGGTCCTTTTCTCTTTCCTGTGGAGTCCAGGGCCCGTGCAACTCCACTCCTGGCTCTCCTGACTTTCCCTACAACACCCTTGCTCTGGTATCTTCCCTTCACCTTCCTTCTATGGGCTGCCTTCTGCCATTAGGATGTAACCTCCTTAAGAACAAGGACTGTCTTTCTTTTTGCTTATATTTGTGTTCCCAGCACTTAGCATAGCATTAATATGCTTGACCTATTAATAAATATTTATTGATTTGACAAAATCATAACTAATAAGTCCAGACCAGTATTATTTTTACCAGACCATCCAGAAGAAATATTAATTCAAAGCAAAAGGACAATTCAACAATCCAGCAAAATTGATTACAAAGAAACCACCCATATACAATGATGTACAATCTCCCTGCAGATTCTCATGCCACTAGCAGGAGAGGGAGCACAGATTCAACTTCTCTTCTCTCCCTCTGCATACTCTCCCAATGACCTACTTGGTTCCCATAAGGTGAATCATTATCTTTTCATCAGGAAATGTTACCTATTAGACATTCCCAAATGGGTATCCCGTAGGCATCTTAAATGCAACTTGTCCAAAACAATTCATCTTTCTCCCCAAATCCACCCCTTCCCTACGTCCATCTTTCTGCCATGGACACCATCACCCTTCCAAGCATCCAGGTTTGTCACCTGAGTCTTCCTTCTTCAACTCTTCACTCTCCCTCATCCCCCAAAGCTAATTAGTTGCCAAGTGTTAATCATTTTTTCTTTAAAATATCTCTTGCATCTAGCCCCTTCTCTCTACTCACAGGGCTACCTACCACCCCAGTCCAGGCTCTCATCACCTACTGCAATAGCTTCCTAAGATCTCCCTGCATAGGGCTTCTCCCCTCTCTAATCCATATTCCACAGCTGATAAGCTGGTATTTCCAAAGTGCACTTCTGACCATATACCTCTCCTGCTCAAGAAGGCCTAACGGCTCTCTCTTCCACTTAGAATTGAATACAAACCTTTCTGTGCGGTGTTCAAAGCCCTTTACAATAAGATTTCAGTCAGTCTTTCCCAGCACAACCATTACTCAACTATCACTGAGTGACACTGGCCAATTTGCCATCCATCAAACCAGACCATCATCTCTTTGTTTTTCCGTCTTTGTGTAGGCCTGGAATGCATTTCTTCCTGGCTTCCTCCAAAGCTCAGCCCAAGTAATACCTTCAACATGAGGCCTTTCCTTTTCTCCCCATACATTCACACTTCCTCCAAAAAATCTTGTATTTACTATATATATGTATATATACACACATGTATTTATATCAGCTTATATGTGTACATGTTGTTTCCCTCAATTACATGTAAGCTCTTTAGGACATTTTATTTTTGTACTCTCATCGCCTCATATATTGTCTGGTACACAGCAAGCACTTACTAGGTGCTTGTTGACTTTGATTGCTCTTATTTAGGGGATACATCTGGTTAGGGAGGACACGTGGAAGAAGGGATACATAGCCAGGATAACATGAGCCTCTCAGGCTTCATCCCAGATAGAATCCCTCTTTACTTGTCACTGCTGTTTAAATGTCTAATATTAGTCAGTCAATAAGCATTTATTAAGCACCTACTATGTGGCAAGCACTAAATTAAGTGCTGGGGATACAAAAAAAAGGCAAAAGACAGCCCCTACTTTTAAGGAGCTCAGTCTAAGGGGTGAGACAATGTGCAAACAATTCTGTACAAATATACTATTGATAAAATAAATTGGAGATAATCAACAGAGGAAAGGCATTAGAATGCAGGGAGATCAGGAAAGGTTTTTTTTTCTTATTGAAGGTGGGATTCTTGGTGAGAAGGTGGAACTTGAAGGAAGTCAGGGAAGCCAGGAGGCAGAGATGAGTAGGGAGGGCATCCCAGGCGTGGGGGACAGCAAAGGAAAGTGCCCAGAGTTGGGAGGTTGGCATTCAGTTGCTTTCCAGTTGTGTCCAACTCTGTGTGACCCTATTTGGGATCTTCTTGGCAGAGATACTGGAGTAGTTTGCCATCTCCTTTTCCAATTCATTTTACAGATGAGGAAATTGAGGCAAACAGGGTTAAGTGACTTGCCCAGGGTCACACAACTGTTAAGTGTCAGAGGCCAGATTTGGACTCAGGAAGATGCGTGTCTTCCTGATTCCGAACCCGGCACTCTATCCACATGCCACCTAGCTGCCCAGAGCTGGGAGACGTAGTGTCTTGGGGGCATGCAGCCAGTCGTGTGCGCTGCTGGGCTCTTCTGTCCATTCTCTCAGTATCTCAGGATCCTCCTCTCTGCTGCCATCTGCTGGATCTTAGCTGCTATACAGCCTTTACTCCTCTGGGCTGGTGGGAAGGCCAAGGAGGGGTGTCTGTCAGTTCTTTGAGAACTTGACTCTGGGGCTATTTCACTCTTGGTGACTTAAACTCCAGGCTTCTCTAGCCCTCGGAAGGCATACTCCTTGGATTCAGCTGAACTCCCCTCTTCTGCAAGCGGTCCTTCCCGTCTCCCAAGGCTAGTTAGTGCCTTCCCTCTGTTACCCCAACTTACCCTGTGTATATCTCTAACTACATAGGTGTTTGTTTTAATGCAGTAGAACCTGCCTCTATTCCAGCTGAAACACCAGTGCAGCTTTATATCAGAGCTATTAAAGGGGTGTGAAAGGAAATGTGCAAAATCATATATACTCAGAAATAGAACCAAAGTCATTGTAATCATTCAATCCTCAACTCCACCCAACAGATGTTAGCCACAAGTGCCAAATGTGAGGCCCACCAGCCAAGGCAACGCTCCCAAGTTTGCCGAACAAGATTTAAATGTAGCTGGGAAACATTTAACAAAATAACTAAAAATTCAAAGATAATTTACATTTTAAAACTGACAATGTGAGGTCAGGAAGGATCCTTACATATGGATCAGTGGCCCCAGTTTCTATGTGAGTTTGACTGTCCTGGTGCAAGCCATTACACCATGTTGTGGGGTCTTCTCCATCAGACTTTAAGCTACTTGGGGGCAAAGACTGTCTTTGCCTTCCTTGTATCCTCAGCTCTTTGCTCATGAATTGGATTTGAGGCAATTACACAATTGGTCCTCTCTGAAAACAATCAACAAACAACACCCTCAACTCTTAGCAAAATACTTTATAAATGCTTGTTGACTATCTGACATACAACTTCCTGAGCTCAGTCTAATATTTGACTTACTATAGGAAAAGTCTTTGAATTCCTCTTTATTTCTGAGAAGGTCCTGGTCCATTCCAAATACCCCAGGAGCAAGACTAAACGGAAGTAGGTCAAGCTAGCAATCCTCGTAATAGTTCTCTGCTAATAACAAGGTTTCTGCCCTCTCTTCGGAAGCAAACCAGACGTGTTTAGGTTGTAAAAGAGGAGACTTAGGGAAACACCAGAGCTATCTCTTAGGTATTTGTGGGCCTGCCATATGGAAGAGCGAGGAGACTTCTGTTTGACTCCAGAGGGCAGAAGTAGGAAGAAACAAAGGGTCAAAGAGGCAAATTTAGTCTAGATGTAAGGATGAACCTTCTCACCATTAGAGGCATCACAAAGTGGAACGTGCTGGGGGGGGAGGGGGAGGAGAAGGGAGAGAAGGCTCCTTCCTTCATTAAATGTCTTCAAGCCAAGGTTGGATGGCCACTTGTGGGCCACGTTGTGCAAAGGATTCTTGTTTGGATATGGATTGCAACAGATGGCCTCGGAGGTCACAGAAGGAAAGGGGAAGGACGGGGCCATTTGGGGAATGCCGATGAGGCTCTGCCCCTTAGAGGAGGATGAGGATGCTCATTTCCCAGCAGGCTGCTGTCCTCTGGACCTCTCCATCATGCTCCGGGAACCTCTTCCTCTTGCTAGACCACTTCAGGCCTGGTACCTACCTAATCGGCATCCTCTGATCGGAAGGTGTAGGGCTCCTGCCAGAACCAGACCAGCCCCTTCTTTCTTCCCCAGCAGGCTGCTCCCCTCTGGACCCCTCCACCATGCTCCTCCCTCAGCCTCCCCAATAGACTGGAAGCTCCCCGAGGGCAGGGCCAGCCCTTTGCCTTTCCTCCTGAGCGCCGGGCCTGGCCCTAGCAGGAGCCAAAGGCTTTTTGACCGATTGACCTCAGCCCGGCAGGACACCGCGGGGACGATCAGAGTCACGCACGTCTGGAGCATCTGCCTTGCCAGTCTCTTTATCTCTCCTTACAGTTAAGGAAAGTGATGCCCAGTGAGAAGAGTGACCTGCCCAGCGGCAGCGCTGGGATCCGCACCCACATCCCTACTGACCCGCTACCACTTTTTCGAAATTTCCCTCCTGCGCAGCCAAAGGCTCAGAGAGTGAGCATGCGCACAGCCTTTCCCAGCCCCGATCACCCTAAGCGCAAGGGAGAGGAGAGAGGGAATGAGCATGCGCAAAACCAACCAGCGGGAGACGGGGAGGGGAGGGGCAAGGAGTCGTGAGCATGCGCGTAGTCGACGGGACCTTCCCCTGCGCCGACTCACAAGAGCTAGCAGAGGCAGGACACTGAGCGTGCGCAGCCCCCTCCGCTCCGCCCCCGCCCCACGGCGTGAGGCTGTGACGCCAAGGTGTTGACATTTGGCGGGAATTAAGAGACGTGGCTGGGCTAACGGGGTAGACGTGCGGCCATGGCGGGGCGGCGTGGTGCCCTCATCGTGTTGGAGGGTATGGATCGCGCTGGGAAGACTACCCAGTGCCGGAAGCTTGTGGCGGCCCTGCTGGAGTCTGGACAGCGGGCAGAACTTCTCCGGTTCCCGGGTAGGAGGCTAGAGCCAGGCCTGG